CATACGGCATGCTTGGCCAAACCAGAATCCGAAGGAGGAGGAAGGGCTTTAATCGTTTGCCGAGGAGAGGAAGGTATAACAGTTTCAACAGGGGTCTCCTTATCTTTGTTCCTGACTTGCTTCTTCTCTGTCACTTTGGTTTTTGCCTTGTCAGCAGCACCCTTTTTCGGGTTCAGTTCCGCCACCTTCCTCTTTTTCGACAACCCGGCGGATGTATCATTCTGCGACAACTCGGGTGGCGTTTCTTTCCTTCCCTTGGTCAAGGCGGCTAACCAACTGGGAGGAGTGCTTTGTTTATTTTCCATTTCGGGAACTGCAAAGAAAAGTGATGAAATCAGTTGTTAAAGCAATACAATAAGCAAAGCATGTCAATCTAGCAATGAAATATACTCAATTCGGCATCAAGTTCTTCTTGAGATTTATAGATGAGGGATGCAACGCTAGCATGCTTATGCGTCTGAAGATATGTACCAATGGCGATCACGGTATTAACATCGTTAGAGTTCAACTGAGATTCTTTAAAGCGGTAGCTTGAAGGGGGGAATTTAAAATGATCAGACGACCAACATAAGGGAAACTTTCCCTCTACATCCTCGGTACCACAGTTTTGGAGAAACCATACCTCCTTACCAGGTTGTGCACACACTTTAAAGAACTTGTCTTTGAAGCCCTTAAAGGACTCAGTGTAGACTCGAAAAAGTCTACGGCCAGGGACACCTCTCACAATAATCCAACCTTTTCGATCTGCCGGTTCGCGACCAGTTCGGCAAGAGATAACTTGAAAAAAGAAACAGAAAACCATAACAGAAGGATGAAGAACAAGATAGGCACAAAGACGCTCAAAAGCCTTAACAGAAGGAGTTGGGTAGGGCATATATGAAGATGATTGAGTACATCTATTTGAAACTCGGTCAGGGGAAACCGCAGTCCGAGTTGAGTAACGAAATCTCGATAAAAGAAAAAGAAGCAAGGATCCTCTTCAGATCCGCTTGAGCACACAGGTTCGTCTTCTCGAGGAGCCAAAGTGACACAATTTTCCACCAACCCAACAGAAAGACCACCCACGACTTCCGAAGTAAGCTCGGAAGTGGTATTCAAAACCTCATAAGTCACCCAGGGAAACTGAGATATTAATGAGGCTAGTGGACATCCAGAATACGACTCGACAGAACTCGACTCCTCTACTACCTCTGGAGGAGGGGATGCCATAAAACCTAAAAACAAGGAAAGGCAGGAATCAGGAAAGAGTCAGAATACCTGAGTCACAAAGGCTATCAGAAGAATCACTAGATGATGATGATGATGCTGACATATCAGAAATTGTAATAGGATCATCTGCTCCCCCTGACGCACAAATATATTTATCTTCATGCCGGCAAGTAGCCAACGTAGACTCGGCCAAAGAATCACAACCTTGCTCAACAAGCTTTGCACTCAAGTAAACCCAGGAGTAACATGGGCCACTCCCTGGGATAGAAGAAGGCGGTGAAGCTTGGGAGTGAGACAGAGATCTCAGATGTATGATAGATGGGTTGGAAGCCTCAACTTCGGGTTGGGAGAACGGAGGTGAAGTACGCCTATTCTCATTATGACGACTCCTAACCCGGCGCGATGAACCCCTATCTCGGGAATGCCGCAACCCTCTACTCGGCATCTCAGACACACTCTGAGACGTGCAACCACGACAACCTCGAAGCATAGCTTCTTGCTCTTCCTCTTCAGTCCTAGAAATCCCCCAAAGCCAGAAACAAGCGCCAAGGGGAATCTTACTCAAAAAATCAGGATTCTCCTCCCTCTTCCCTTTAAGACACAGAGCTGAAGAAGGAGGGTTTTTCCCTCTCATTTGGCCAAGAAACTGAAAAAGGCTAAAATGTCAAATAGCAAAAAGGAGGATAAAGAGGAGGACATAGTGATAACCACCAAAACGACAAAAGAACACAATGTTCTGAGAAACGCCAGTTGTGGGAGTTTTTCGTGGATTCTGGAAAAATACCAGAAAATCGACGAAGAAAATATGCAACTTCAAATTTACAATGGCAAACAAATGTTCAAATGCAGAACAATGCAACAGAAGCAACAAAAAAGCAAAAAGCGTGACATACCTGCTAGAAGGAAGATGAAGAATTGAAACTGAAACTCTGAAGAACAGACGAAATGAGGATGATGCACAATACTCAGAAGGTACACAGACGAAAGCAAGCAGAACGAGCCTGGTGCGCAATGCTCAGAAGCGAAACGAAAGCACGTAAGGGGCAGCAGAAGCTTATATAGCCATGACAACTGCCCACTGGGTCATGAATAGAAAAGGTCAAGGCTATTTAGGTCTTTCCGCTCCCCAATTCATAACCGCCACGGTCGTGGGTGGAAACCGCAATCATCATGCGCCCAAACCACGGCACGGAGAAAGCCAAGGGGTAAGGGCATTACTGCCAATTCCCACCAAAAAGCAATGATTAGACAACTGCAATGATGCTGCAATAAATGTGCACGAAACGCAACGACGGCATAAAACGGCTGCAGCACGCTAAAGCAAGCGAGCTGTACCACATGGCAGAATGAAATGAGAGCAATTCCAACCCAACAGATAAGACAAGATATATATGCATACAGCTGTCAACCGGGTTAAGCGCTGACGCTTGGGGCAACTCAATAGTCGACTCACGACTACTAAAGCGCATCTACTACCCGGGTATTCCATGAAAGCCTCGACGGGTTCATGCATAACCCGTCGACAAAATAAATAGGCATAAAAAACATAATCCGAGTTAAGGGATATCGCTTGAGGGAAAGCCGCCGGTCGAATTCGAACAACTTAAGCGTATTCCTAACCCGGAGTAGGAACATGGTTGATGCTCAACTAGCAAAGCAGTGTAACGAGGGAAAATGGCGGTGACCACGGCATAAACCAAGAACTCGAAATAAACATATATGCTTACATCAAGGGACAACACGACTGTAGGAAACCGACAGCTCAGAATTATACCCGGCCCAAAAGGTGGGATACGCAAAATATCTCACCGGGTTGATGCTCAACCCGTCGACATAAAGGGACAAGGGGCACCCCGCGTGGAAAAATTTTGATCACAAGCGGAGTACACATTCATGGGCAAAAACCTGAAGAGATGCACACGTAAGTTCACCCCGACTACCAGGACGCCCAGGTAGCCGGGCTGAGGGGCAACTGTTATGGACCCATATAATGGGCCCATTAAGTGGTAAGCCCAACAAGAGGCAATCTAAGATACTGATTGATATTAACAAAGGATAGATATCCATCAAGGATACTAATCTTAATACGATAGCATAGCAAACAGGCCTGGACCCTCACCAGAGGCACTAAAGGCCCATCCACACTACCCACAGGTAACCTCTATAAATACAAAGTAAACCCTAAAGGTATGTACGCTCTCTCTCTTACTGTTATGCTGTCACTGTGCGCACACACACATCCCATTGGCTAACGCCGTTATAGTATTCTGTGCACAGTGATCTGCTTGACTCAAAGGTATCTCATTCATAGATACCTTGGAGATGGCACTAGATCCAAGATAAACGCACTAACCTATTGGGCTAGACATCTCTGTCCCAAGGACAGAACAGAAGTCAAGGCATCAAAGAATCTCTACCAAAAGGCAGATGCCTGCCACATATTCATTGATATTTCCAGGATTCAATGCATCACTAAAATGCAAGATTGCAAGTCTCATACACACTAAAGTTATGAACTTACGAAACTAATGACCTCTTAATTCAACTAGAAACAGTCATGTTCGAATATACAATAACCTCTGTATTCAACTTATGACAACCATTGAACACTCATGCAATAATGATCCATGAATATACAAATCGAATTAGTTTTAGATAGTTTACAAAAATGAAAATGAAAAATACAAAAACCACTCATCAGGAAACGAATATACAAAGTCATCCAGACAAAAAAAGAAAAGAAACTTGACTCAATGAATCACAAACTCCTACCAAATCCCATTTGTTTTACACCAACTAACATCAACATCACTTTTATCCCAAATTAATTGGGGTCGGTGGTAGATGAACCCACATGAAAGATACCAAACGATTGAAAAAGATAATTTTACACCAACTAAACTAAAATAAAAAAAATAAAAAAACCCTTTTTATTTATATATTATTATAAAAGAGTATCCATTTGGTCAAACATAAATCCATGCTTTCCTAGGAATTACACAATATACATCTCTTGTAGCTATGAAACACCGACACTTCAAAAACTCTGACGTGTCGTGTCTGACACTTCCCGACACTCCAACACTCCCGACACTCCAACACGCGTTGTACAGACTCAAAAAAAGGTTCAAAGGACGTGTTGTGTTACGTTTTTAGTTCTAACTATTAGATTTGTTGGATTACGATTACTATTTTATTAAGTTTAATATAAATATTTGAGATATCTTATGTTTCTTTGCAAAATTGATGGCTATTATAAGTTTAGCTTTATTTTTTGTTAAATTGTTGAATATTAAATATAATATACACTACATAAATTAAAAATATTATTTAATATCAGAACTTGTCTTAGAATTAATATGTCAGTGTATAGTGTCGTGTCCCGTGTCGGTATCGGTGCTACATAGCCTTGCAGAACCACTACCCCAAACTTAAAAATAAATAAATAAATAAATAAAAACTAACAATCCATCTTCTACCTCAACTAAAAAAAAATAACAAAGAATCAACCAATCAAAATGACATTTCATTTATAAAAAAGATTTTTTCTTTTTTTGGGTAAGAATTGAGGGCAAAGCGCCCAAAAACAAAACTAAGAAACAGTTACAGAAAGCTGAAAATTCCTGTCAGTAGCTACTAGGTCCTGCAAATCCAGAGAAAAGATTGTTATATTGCAAAAAAGATGCTTTTTTTTAATACATATATACATAGTTCCCTTCTAAAAAAATAACAATTACCCTCAAACGATACAAAAATAAAAAAAGAATGGCGAAACGAAGTAATGTACCGACCCGGCAACAAGGCGATAACCATCCTCATAGCGCTGCTGATGCCGACCCGTACGAGCCACCAATCCAGACATCATTGTATGTAACCAACCAACCAAAAAACCACAAATCTCAATCACATTCACATTCACAAAGCCAAATAATCCTCTTTCCCCATTGGATCATAATCCCCACAATGGTCACGCCCGCATCAGATACCAACCCACCACCGACAATGCCACCATAATTATTGACATCGGTGACGAAAACGACGCCGCGTAGCATCACCCAACCCAACCACAACGCCACTGCTTCCACACCATTGTTGTTTTAGGGTTCAATTGCAGGGAGTTTTAGAGAGAGAGAGACTGAGAAACACTGAAAATGATGAACGAGAGATTTAGAGAGAGAAACAATCACAACGGATCGGACCGGACCGGACCGGTAAATGCCACGTAGATCGTGGTCAGCTACTCGGTCCCACTTAAAGCGACTGTACCAGCGAGTTCTCTAGTTCGCGGACTAGAAAATCGAAATTTCTCAGCCTATGAAATGAGGCCACATGGAGGGAAATAGTTTAAGAAGGATTCTATTGGCCGAGTTCTGCGGCAACATGGTAAGGTGGGAAGTAGGTAATCGTAGAGCGGTGGAAAAAGGTATTTTGTAGGGCCCTTCCAAGCAAGGTTCTACTTTTAGAGTTGTTTTGATTAGAATTTTTTAATATGATCCAAAAAAATTATGGTCTTTTTACTCAGAAAAAACGTAGATTTCTTTTTTTCTCCTTTCACCTCTGTTCTACCCATTTTTTCTTGATCTCAGAGCACACCAAATTATCTCGTTTTGATCATCCATCTATTCTTATAAAAATAATTGATTTGTTATATTAATGTTGACAAAAATAAATTAATTTTATTTTAATTTTATGGGAATCGTTTTTGTTATGTTGCATAAGATAAAAGTAATCTTTTTACACTCACAAAAAGAAAAAAGAGGAGAGAAAATAAATAAAAAAAGAAAAAATTTAAATTGAGTCAAAGAAAAAATTTAAATTGAGTCGAAGATAAAATTTGTTGTGTGTTTTGGGCATGATCAACAAAATTGATAGTGTGAACTTGCTTGGCTTGTTTGTGAATTTATTTATTATTTCTGATGTGTGAATTTATTAAAGTTGGCTTTTTTGGACTTTCTTTCTTTTACTTCAACAGTGAATATATATTGATAGTGCTACCACACATAACACTAGAATTCCTATCTTAATAATAAGAATTAGAATCCCTCTTGATTCATGGATTTTATAATTTTATAAAGAAGAAATGAATAACTAACAGGAGTACAGGACTACAGGAGCGAGTTGTGCGTGGGAAGCGATAATTGTAGCAGAGGGGAGGATTAGAGAATAGAATTGTAGCAGAAGGGAGTACGTAATATATATTATTTATATTGATACTTAGTATATAAAATTGAGATTGCAATTTCTCATGTTGCATGAGAAATGTAAGTTTTCCTACAGAAAGAGAAAGGAGTGGGACCTACCTTAAAGAAAAAAATAAAAAACAAAAAAATGATTGGCACGGACATCGAAGTGAGAGTGGTAGGAGAGAAGATTTCTCATGCAACATGAGAAATCTTTTCTCCTATAAAATTAGTGATCAAATATGTATAATGTCATGATTAGTGTATCTAATTGGTAATTGAGAAATATCCTGTTTATCACAATACATGCGAATTATTTGTACCTCAACCGCTTATGTCAAAATGATATGAAAAATTAATGTGTAAAAAGCCCAATAGCTTTATTTATTATACAAAAATTAAAAGGACAATTAGAAAATCAATTTATGATAAGAAATTATTTTTTGTATTTTATTTTTGAAAATATTCTTAATTTTCAGTTCTTTTTTTAAAAATATAATTTTTATTATTCTTGTTTTTAAAAATATGCTTAGTTTCTTAACCTCAAAACCACATTATTTTTTGTATTTTATTTTTGAAAATATTCTTAATTTTCAGTTCTTTTTTTAAAAATATAATTTTTATTATTCTTGTTTTTTAAATATGCTTAGTTTCTTAACCTCAAAACAACATGTAGATATATATATATATATATATATATATATATATATATATATATATATAGGGTCAGGATCATTTTACACCAGTGTAAGTTACACTCTCAATTTTGATCGTTGATCCCACTTATATCTAACAGCTCAAATTTTTTAGTAATGTGAGCCATTGGATACAAGTGGATCAATGCTCAAGATTGAGTGTAAGACTTCTAACTCTTACACCGGGTGTAAGAATATCCTGCCCCATATATATATATATATATATATATATATATATATATATATATATATATAGGCATGAGCAATTTTTATTATGGCCTATGTCCTTTTAAATTATTTTTTTTGCAACTTTTTTGAATTCACTCCCTTTTAATCTTAATGCCTTATTATATGTGCATTTTAACTTTATATTAACTTCACTGACTTTTTATGTTGTCTTATTTCATGCCTCTTTCTGTAAACTGTCAGTGCCTTATTATCATCTCGTGTATAGTCCCTTTCACTTTCGATACCATCTTTGGAGGTACGTGTAACCTAACACACACTTCATTGATGCATGTTATTTGATGCTATTTTTTGTGTAGAAACAAAATATTACTATTGCTTGTAATTTGCATTGCTTGTGTGCTAGTTTATATTGTAAGTTTGGAATCTACTAAGTGCCTTGTCTGTTTTGGTATGAACCTGATACTGAAAGTGGATTGCATATATAAGTTTGTCAGTTAAATTGGAATCAATTTAAGTTTTATATATTATGGGCTGTGTCTTTTTTAATTTTCCAATGGGAATTTTTTTGAGTACCCTCCCTTGTGACTGTTTTTTAATTCTCTTTCCATGACATGATTCATCTTTATGGATTGAGTGACTTTTAGCAGTACTAATTTCCGGTTGGGTCTTACACTTCACTTGTTATAATAAACGTTATTTTAATATCACATGACAAGAACTAGACTGAAAATAATTACACGCATAAGGACTAAATTGAAAATATTTTTGGTATAAGAATCAAATAAAAAATAAATATAAGTGTATTATTTTAATCTGAGTAATAATTAATTAATAAGAGCTAGAGGTTTGTTAAAAGATGGGTGGCTCTGTAAATGAGGAAAGATAAAGCCCCTTTGAGAATAAGAGAAGCTTTTTTGAAGCAGTATAAAAGCCACTTCTTTCATTGCCTTGTTTCATTCCTAGCTAATGTTCTTCACGCAACCAGACATATGCACTAACCATAATGGTATATTAGGGAATATATTAGGGTATTTTTATTTTATTTTCCTAAAATCGCTATGTACAAGTTGGATATATGAATAAAGTATTAGTATTGTTGAGATATATAAAACATTAATGTAGCATCACCCAACAGCTTAAACTTTTGGGTTGAATTGGTCATTTACATGGTATCAGAGCCTCGCCGCCCCCACTTTCTCTTGTGGCGTTTCTTAGCACAGGTAGGCTGGGCCTGTTGCATTGTTCACTCTTCAAGCCCCGTGGGCTCTCGTGTGAGGGGGCGTGTTGAGATATATAAAACCATTTCTATGTCTTACTTTACTTATTATAAGTTACTAAGGGGTTTCCATAAATCCACTTAGCCAATTCCTCAACCTTACATTTTTACCTATTCAAACATGGTTTACTAATTATTTTTCTGCGAACACACCGCTCACAACCAGACCTTCCTCTCGGTTTATCTTTTTTTCTTACTTAATTCCCTTTCTAAAAAGCTAGTACACGCTTTAAACGAAGCTCGTTTGCTCCGGTTATCGCCGTTTGAAATTGGACAAGCAAAACTGTCAACCAACCCCAAAATAGCTCAAAACACCTCTCACTCCACGAATTACTGCAGAAAATCCACTCATCCAATTGCTCTCAAATTTTTATGCTACAAACTAGACACCTCAACCTTCAATTTGATATATCATACGCTTAATTTGACTCAGAAACAAAACGGGAATTAATTTCCCAAAAACTGCCAAAAATAGCCCCTGTATAAGAGGGTTCTGGACAGCCTGTGTTCAATGAATCCTACTGGGCTGCATGAAATCCAGAATTTTCTAATATTTGGACACCTTCTACGGGACATCTCAAGATTCAAAATGGCATATGGTACGTCCCTATCGGACCTCTGTGGAGGGAGATATGCTCTCCCGAAGTTCGTCTAAAATCTGCCAATTCTACAGAAAATTCGCCAGAGTTTCCTTTGTTTTTCCTAAAATCCCCAAATTTGCATAAGATCACTAGTACCTCAAATGTACCTAATAACCAATGGGTGGCACACACAAGGACCAACAATGCCTTGTGGCACTTACAACCCTACTCAGTTTATAGTTATTACGCAATTCATATTATATGGCTCACTTTATAATTCCTTAACTTATTTCAATCACCAAAGTCCATTTACATGCAATTTCTCAACATAAGCATATAATCATAATTCTAAAATAGGCCTAAAGCCCTTCCATCATAGTACATCATGCATCCATTGTACAATTACAACATTTAACTTTAAATTACAACTTTAATTACAAATCAACTCATAAGCTTAAATAACATAACCACTAGACTTAGGCAAAATGACATGAACAAATATGCTAATGAAATTCATCTTACATACATATGAGATGTTCATGCCCTAAGTCTAGCCTAGGCCTCATGGCCATCAAAATGCAAAATAATAAATTGCTCCATCTAATCATCCCACGGGCTTCTTGCCCGCCGCTCCACTACCACTGCTACCTCCTGAAATAAAGCCCCCAAGACGGGGTGAGATATACGAATATATCTCAGTAACCCAGAGGTTCTGGAGAAAACTCCACCCAATGGTTCACTTCGATGCATATAAGCAATATAAAACAACCACTTTCAAAACGGGATATAGCAAGGGATTTAGAGAAACTGAAGAATATCGGGATATAAAATACGACGAAGCTGGAATAGTAGCTACCAATACCACGCAACGTCCTCGGCATATAAGTCTACGGGTCTCATCCAAGGCGTGTTCCAAGAACCATAACCAAGGTACCCCTTCCATCCATATACACCCGAGACTTCCTAGTGTGCTCCTACCCGGATGACACACCACGACCCTAGGTCAACTGGAACTCCCTCTCGGAGACCTATCCAGTGGAAGTCTGCACTGCCCGAAGGCTACACTTGGCTACTGGCCAGAGACTCGGTACATAAGTACCCTCATAAATACTACATGCATGTTCATGCTGTTCTACACTACTCATATACATTTCCTACCAATACCATCAACTGGCATGGTGGAACACACAAGGGGAACAAGCCCCAGTACCAAGAGGTTATCTCAATGAGCCTCTTCACTTAGCTCCCAATCAAATATTCTCCGAGTTCTTTATATAGCAGAAATGCCTACACAGAGGACATTTCCAATTACTTAAAATTCATAGAACACATGCAAGTCATCAATTACACAAGCATGGTTCCAATCACTTACCTTAATCCCACTTGGTCCAGGACTAAGGGCAGTCCACGGAACTCACGGTTCGGGATTCAAATCGACGTACGGCAACCTACAACAACCATGTACAAACCATTAATACACGGCAAATCTATTATATTACGAAAACGTCAAAAATCCTCCCCTACACCATGTAGGTTCGGCCAAGCATGTGTTCTTTTACAATTTATTTTTCTAATTTTTCTTTCTCATTTTCCTAGGCATCCTTAGGTTACCAAAAGGCTAATTCAAGTGCCGTTTTTTTGTTTTACGTCTTTTAAGCATCGTTGTGCTTAATAACTCACTCTCGGTTCCTTTTAACCATTTAACACCATCAATATTTTTCCTTTGGTTTTTCAACCATCCAACCACCACACAACCCATTTAATTACCATTTAACACATAATACATCACTCAAACAATTTCCAACAACATCAATTCCCTAATTTTCCTTTAAAGGGCCGAATTCACAATGGTGTACATTCAAGGAATTTCCATCAATTTTAACTACTCCACACCTCATACAATCCTATTATATCATCACACAACCATACAACAATCCAATTAGACTATCCTAACACAATTCCAAAACACAAAGTCATGGCATCCTCAAAAATTTCTAAGTTAAAAATCATATTTTTCACCAATAATTTTTATTGCATTTATGGCTCCTACACATTATTCTAAGACATATTCATGTACAAACATTTTTCATTTGAGCTCTTTAACAACACAAATCAACCAAATCCCCTTTAGGGTTCATGAAAATAAATCTTCAAATCAATCCATGAGAGGTGTTGAAACTTACCCACAATTACGTCACAAGACTCCTCCTAGAACTCCACAAACAATGGCTCAACAAATCAACCCCAAAATCACATAAATCCTAAGAATTTCGTGGCTGTAAATGCCTCTTTTCTCACAATAGAGAGGGTTTCAAGGGAAACTAATCAGTGGAACGGGTTCGGATGATGATTTCGATCGAATTTCAAGACAAGAATCGTCTGATTTGGTTAAGAATCGATGAAGTTATGGAGAAAGAGAGTTTCAAGCAAATTTTGGCCATGGAGGAGGGTGGGTTCAGTTTTTCGAGAGAGAAAGGGAGGGGAAGATGATCATGAATAGTGTCTTGCCATGTGTCTTAAGTGATTTAAGTGGGGTGGGTCCCACCGCCACCTCACGCGATTTCAAACTAATTCGAATTTTCCTCCGATTCCACTAAACGTCCATAAATTCACAACCTATTTAGAAACTCTAATTTTTAACATTAACCATTTTCCTTTAATTACTCTTGATCAGATGAATCCGGAGTTTTCCGGTCGTTCGAAGAAAATGTTGTTTTAAGCTGTTGCGCGCGTCGTTGGCACGCTTCCCCAAACTAACTTAATTCCATCAAATATTATCATAAATCATATTTCCTAGTTCTATAGGCCATTTATAACTCATATTTGAAACCTATAGCTCAAAACTCAATCGACACGTCTTACGGTGCAATCGTACCGCGATATTTTTACCCGCGAAAAATACTATTAACTGATTTTTCTGAAACTTGCTTAACCACTCAATTTTTCGTTATGAATCTATTTCCAGGGTTCTTTTTATCATCTGGGACCTTCTACTTAATTTTATCTTCCTAGGGTTGTGTGCATGGCTAATTACCGTTTTGCCATTTCTTTGTATTTTGACCTATACTCAGGATTTTCACTAATCCTTCTCTTTAATTCTCATTTAATATTTTAATATTTAAACTTAGAAATGCGAGGTGTTATAGGATACGAGGCTTTGATATCATGTAAAGAACCTATTCAACCCAAAAGCTTAAGCTGTTGGGTGATGCTACATTAATGGTTTTATATATCTCAGCAAGTATATTAGGGAATATATTCTCCTCACATTTTTTCTAAAAGAAAAAACAAAGCACCTTTACTGACAATGGTAAAGATAGATTCTCTAATCTCAACAAATGGAAACCACATTCCCCATTTGTCTAGTTGCTCAATATATTAATGTCAGGGAAATTTGTGAATAAAGTTTGATTTGGGTGACCCCTGTCTCTTATGGCTGCTACCAGCGAGGTTCTTTAGTATTTGTCCAGGAATATTTTTATAGATTATATAGTTCTACATAAAAATGGCACCTAATTTGCATGTTATTAAGTGTTGATTTCTATTGTTAAGTGTTGATTTTCATAGCATGTCTAACAATGTATGCTTTCTGTTGCTTTCTGCATAATATGTGCAATTAATATTCATGTTTTGTTATAGTAATTTCTTTGTATTCTGATTTTGTGAGTATGCAAATTATTGGAGAAGTAACACAAGTTACTTTTTCGGCATTAATATGTTGCTGTTGAAATGCATAAACTTTGATGGGATTCCGGATCTGATCGGTGCCTACTCTCCATGTGGTCGACTGAGGGAGTCTTGGGGTTGGTTGAATAGGGAGGGATGTCGGTCTACGTGTTGGGAACAGACCTGGTCTTCCTCGGTTGGGAGCGGATCTTCGGGACAGTAGGACCTTCTGGGCGGTCATTGGGCGGTGGGACCAAGTCAGCTCTGTTGGGGAACTCCTAAGAGAGGTAGATCTGGGTTGCTTTGATGGAGGCTGTCGCGCCTGATGCAGCTCTGGTCGGTTGTGGTACGCCCCTGATTCTGGCGAGACCGAGATTGGTAACTGTCAAGGATACACCTCAATGCTTGGCGACTGGTGTGGTTGGGTGTGAGGAACGGAACAATTCTGGCGATGGTAGAATGTGGGAGTAGCTCGCGGCTGTGGCGCTTGTAGTTGCAGTGTCGAACGGAGGTGGAGCTTAGAAGTTGAATTGGGTTGGGCCCTTGATTGGAGAGTGACACGTTTACTGCATTCCTGCTTTGGAGTAGTTGGGCGGTGGGGTGCTCGTTGCGAGGAGAATTTTTTGCTCAGGCGACTGATTGTGGACTTTGGTGACCGACATATGGTGGTCGGCAAAAAGATGTGGATGGTAGGATTGTAATGATTGGTCAACGTAAATTTGTTGATTGGAATTGATGATCGTTCATCCGAATTAGTTGATGATTGACCAACCGTTAGAGATTGAGGGGGTCTTTATCAAAACAGTGATGAAATTCCAACGAAGTAGTGAGGAGAGTTTCCTTTTCATGGTTTCGGGTCTGTCTTCTTGGGCGATTGATATTTGCTTGGGCGGTTGATTTTTTCTTTTGGCAATTGATGGCTGGCGGTGGAACTTGCCTTGGGCGGTGGGCCCCTCTGGTGGGCGGTCGGCGGTGGCTTCTTTTGGCGACCGATGACTGGCAGTAGCTATCTTCATGCTTTTTTGGTCAGTAACCTGCAAAAGGTGTTGGCGTCTGGATGATGTGTTGACCGAGTGAACTTCACGATCGGAGTAAGTGTTCCAAGTTGACCAAGCGGCAATGGTGCTTTCACTTAGTGAAGTGGACGATTTCCAAACGGTGGGAAGTAGAGATCGGTTGATAACCGATCGGTTGGCAAATTACTAATTCTTGATGAGGCTGATCGGATGTTTGATCGTTGAAGCATAAACCGCTTCCTTGTCCATTCTTGATGGTCCTGGATTAACGCTGATCTTCGGTTTCTTTTTCTGATCTTTCAGGCTCCTTTTTCTGATCTTGAAGCTCTGTTCTTAGTTTTCTGAATCTGGTGTTGTCTTTCTTTCTTTGCAGATCTGGGTTTGGAAGCTTTGGGGAAGGGCCCCTGTACCTATTAGAGTAAGCAAATAGGGTGTTCTTTGTATGGAACTATTTCGCAGAGCTGGAACGAAAAGGCTTTTTTCTTTTGGTAGCTTCTGGTAGAGAAGAGGGAATCAAAGTTTGTTGTATTCCACATACGGCGCTAATGTACTCATGGTAGTACATAGATGTGTCCCATGGAGGGTGAAGTATGTTGATATAAGGGGTGCTCATAGTGCCAATGGTATAGACCAAAGCACTAGTGAAGCTTCCCATAGTGTGCATAAAAGGGGGTGTGTGAGAGTGGCTAGGATTGCTCTCCCTGGCTAGCAGCGCATGAAGCTCCTGGCGAAGAAGAGGTGCCTTCCTCAATGTGAGAGAGGGTATTTAGAGTTGAAGTCTGGTCAACCTAGCCAGCCTAGCCTGAAAAGGCTAGGCATGCTGAACCCCTGCCAGAGTGTGCAGGGAGCAAGGTGCATGGGAATGAGGGGGCATCCTATGATACCTTCTAGAAGTGAGCATTTAGATTGGACCCAGTAGTGAGCCTAAGCACCTGGGCTATCCAGAACATAAGTAAATAACAGAAAGGAGTGAAACTGAAGGTGTTACCTGGTAAAGGTGAATTTACATGTCTGCTGGGAAAGAGAAAAGTCGAAAGAGTGATAGGAAGAAGGAAAAAGGAAAAAGGAGGAGGTTACAGTGGAAAATGGAAGGAAATGAAAGAGTGAGTGAAGTAGTAAAAAAAATGGAAGGACCCTCAGGTTCCGCTTCGGAACCTCTCCTTGGTTTGGACGAGAATGGATTCTCCTCAACGCTTCCTATCACAATCTATTAACTCCGACGCTCCCGTCACCAAGGACCAGATCACCACCGTCTCCAACCAGATCGTCGCGGCCATCCACCAGATCATCGTCAACGGCGCCGCCTTAGTCTCGTACTCCCAAAACATCACCGCCGCCGGAGACTCTGTATTCCCGCAGGATCCGTCGGATGCGCCGCCGCATGCAAAGAAGCCGAGGCTAGAATTCTCCACCGCCGACAAGGCCAAACAGGTGCTCGATTTGAAAGTCGAGGTTGTAGAAGACGACGATGCAGCAGAAGACTGCGAAATCGTGGAGCTCGACACCATGGAATTGCTTGCGGAGGGAGCACATTCATTTCTGCGAGATATGCGGAAAACGGTTCAGTCGCGATGCGCATCTTCGTATGCACATGCGCGCGCACGGGAACTAGTTCAAGACGCCAGAAGCGTTGGCGAGGCCGCTGGAGCCACGCGCCGCCGAGCCACACGATTCTCTTGTCTGTTCGAAGGCTGCAACGGGAACAAGCTATGCCGGAAGTTCAGGCCGTTGAAGTCGATCGTTTGCGTGAAGAACCATTTCAAGAGGAGTCATCGTCAGAAGATGTACTCCTGTAACCAAAATGAGAAAATCAATCAAAAAAATATTAAATATTGACCTAAAATTTTCTGACAAGTCATCATGTGTTTTTAAAATCTCGATTTATCACTATGATTTTTTGTTTTTACGTTTTTTTTATCAAAACGATATTACCAATATTTCAACAGCTTTTACGTTTACGATTTTTTTAGCCCCCTTCTGATTTTACTGAGAATCTCAATTTTAACAACTTTGATCCCCGACGTTATTATTTAAATCGCTAGGAAAAAAAATTAAATATTGGCGTCTCCAAAACTGCTAAAAATTGTAATATATTGTGTCATTTTCTTTGAACTCTCCAAAACAGCTTTATTAATTCGAAGTGATAATTTAATTCTGCGATCAGCTTTCGCGATCATTTAACAGCTTTATTAATTCGAAGTGATAATTTAATTCTGCGATCATTTAACAGCTTTCTTAATTCAACAGAATTCTTATCATTCAATAGCTTTCTTATTCTGCGATTAGTTAACAGCTTTCTTAATTCAACATAATTTAATCGAAGTAGTCTTAAGTCTTAGCTTCTCATGCGAGATTATATTTAATCGAAGTAGTCTTAGGGCCTGTTTAGTGTGATGTATAAGGCTTGATAGTATAAGCTTATACTATACGTTACGACATTTTCAGTTGTTTGGTGTGACCATCGTATAGTATAAGCTTATACAGTAGGACCTTTTACACATCAAAATGATGTATAACTTAATCCGGCCTAGGAGTGATGGATTATGCCTGATAAGGAGTTGATGTATTAATATTGCTTACAAGTGCAATTCCCAAAATCTAATATATCATTTCAATATTTATATATTAAAATAATTTTTTTTAATATATTAATTTTTAAAATATTGGAGATATTATCTTATACAATATCATACTAAATGCTGGATAGTATTAAAATTTAATCAGATCTTATACAATCAGTTCTTATACTATCAGTTCTTATACTATCAGGCATTATCCTATACTATGCACCAAACATGACCTTAGCTTCTTATTCCTCCAGTGTTAGCTTATTTGAAGAGACTATGACATCGAAGTAAGTGTAACCTTATGTAACTTTATGTGAAGAGATTATTGTCGATTTCGTCGTTACTGTCTACGGGTTTTTTTTTGTATGCATATTGACATCTAGTTATATATACATTTGCAGGTTATATATTTTCCTTCAACACTGAATTTGCCATCAACGTAGTGTTAGCCATCAAGTAGTCTTTTATCGTCGTCTCAAAGGATGACGACAGACAACACCATGGCCATAACACCACAAATTCAGACCCCGGCGTCTCAAAGGATGATCATAACACCACAGATTCAGAAACCAGGGTACGTATCCTATTATTTTATTTTATTTTTACTTTTTGGGGAGTTCTTTAAACAAATTATGATATGTAATCTATTGTTAAAATGTAGTGTCTACTCGGTAGAAAACTGAATAGTCTACGTTTTTTTACCCTAAAAAATGTGTTGAAATTGTGGTAAAAATGAATTTTAAGTTGACTCGACGAGAGAGAAGGAATATACTTGAAAGAAAAGGGTATTTGAAATATTATTGAATTGTATATAATCTGTACAAAGGGTTCTCTATTTATAGAGAATACTTGACCTAATTTTGACCTAATGGGCTTGGCCCAATACAACAAATAAATGACTAAATAATAACTAAATAATAATTATTTACAACACTCCCCCTCAAGCTGATGAATAGATATTTATCATTCCCAGCTTGCTAGTAAGTTCTTGAAATCTGTCTGAAGGAAGCTCCTTTGTTAATAGATCAGCTAATTGACGCCCAGTGGGAATGTTTGGAGTGGTAATCAACCCGCTATCAAGTTTCTCTTTGATGAAATGGCGGTCGACCTCAATATGTTGAGTCCGATCATGTTGAACTGGATTATGAGCTATACAAATAACGGATTTATTATCACATAGCAGCTTCATAGGTCCCTCACATTTTATTTTGAGATCATCAAGTACAATTTTCAGCCACAGTAACTCACAAATGCCTTGAGCCATAGCTCGAAATTCAGCTTCTGCACTTTATCTGGCAACCACATCTTGTTTCTTACTTCTCCATGTCACCAAGTTACCGCAAAGAAACATGCAATAACCAGTGGTAGAACGACGGTCAGTCACGGATCCAGCATAATCAGCATCTGTGTAGACTTCTAAACATAGATTGCCATCACGTCGGAATAACAATCCTTGACCAGGAGTACCTTTAAGATACTGAAGAATTCTCTCTACTGCCTGCATGTGTTTTTCCTTTGGATCGTGCATAAACTGACTGACAGCACTAACAACATAAGCTAGGTCTGGTCTAGTATGGGCCAGATATATCAATTTCCCAACTAGCCGTTGGTATTGTCCTTTATCAACTGGAGGACTCTCTTCTTTATAGCCCATCTTGTGATTCTGCTTAATAGGAGTATTAGAGGGTTTACACCCGAGCTTTCCTGCTTCTTTGAGAAGATCCAAAACATATTTCCTCTGGCTGATAAAAATTCCTTTGCTTGAATGAGCTACTTCTATCCCTAGAAAATATCTCAGTTTCCCAAGGTCTTTGATTTCAATCTCAGAGGCAAGCCGTGTTTGCAGAATCTGTCTCTCCACAAAATCATCACCTGTGATAATAATATCATCAACATATACAAGGAGCACAGTAATCTTCCCATTTTGGGAGTGCTTGAAGAAAAAAGTGTGATCTCCTTGACTCTGTCTGTATCCTAAGGTCATCATAACCTTAGTAAACTTTCCAAACCAAGCACGAGGTGACTGCTTCAATCCATACAAGGCCTTTTTTAATCTACAAACTTTATTTTCCCCCTTCACAGAATCAAAACCAAGCGGAATTTCCATGTAGACTTCTTCTTCTAACTCACCATTGAGGAAAACATTTTTCACATCAAATTGATTTATATCCCAATTGTAATGGGCAGCAAGGGATAACAAGATTCTTACTGTATTCATCTTTGCAACTGGAGCAAAGGTTTCTTCATAATCAATGCCATAGGTTTGAGTGTAACCTTTGGCCACTAATTGAGCCTTGTATCTCTCAAGAGTGCCATCAGAATTATATTTCAGGGCATAAACCCATCTGCACCCTACTGCTTTCTTTCCGTTGGGTCTATCAATAACCTCCCATGTTTTATTTTTCTCCAAAGCATTCATCTCCTCTTGCATGGCTTGAGCTCAATTTCTATCTTTCAAGGCTTCATGTACTGATTTTGGGATTACAATAGAGTCTAGTGCTGAAACAAAGCTTTTGTGCTGCACAGAAAGATTAGCAGAGGAAACAAAATGGGAGATAAGGTATTGAGTACAAGAGGGACAAGATTTCTTGGGACAAGCTATTTTTCCTTTTCTAAGAGCAATGGGTAAATCATCAGAATCAGTAGTAATAGGTAAGTCATCAGAAGTATTAACATCATGATCAGAAATATGAGATTCAGGACTTACCAGTGGTTCAGACAATTGAGGTTGCTGCTGAGACAATGTAGGTTGTTTCCTTCTTTCAGGTGTCATAACCTTCCGTATCTCTGGTGTACTTGATGTATCAATCACAGGAGAATCAGTCACAGGAGGATTACTCACAAGAGGATCAGACACAGGAGGAACAGACACAGGAGGAACAAGACCAAGAGGAGGATACACTGACACAGGTGAAGGAGTAGACACTGAAGATTCAAAGAAGGAAGGTGATGAGTCTTCTGGTGAATTATTCTCCCCCTGAAGATGAGGACCTTGGAAAAAGGACTCAGATTCCTGAAATGTAACATCCATAGAAACAAAAAATTTCTGACTTCCAGGGTGATAACACTTATAGCCCTTCTTATCAGGAGCATATCCAAGGAAGACACATTTAAGAGCCCTAGGATCCAACTTACTGCGATACTGTTTATGAATATGAATAAAGACAACACACCCAAACACTCGAGGAGGAAGACTTTGCAAAGTTGGAACATAAGGAAAAAAAGAAGTCTTGGAGTGAATAGGACTTACATGATCGAGAACCCGAGTGGGTAGGCGATTGATCAAGAACGCTGCAGTAAGAATGACATCTCCCCAATAGCATTTGGGTACATGTGTTTGAAACAGTAAGGCACGAGCAACTTCAAGAAGGTGACGATTTTTCCTTTCAGCAACCCTATTTTGTTGAGGGGTGTCTACACAAGTAAGTTCATGAATCATACCTTGATTTTGGATAAATTGGGAAAAAGAGTGATTGACATATTCATTACCATTATCTATCCTTAGTCTTTTGATTTTTTTACAAAATAGAGTCTCAATCATTTTATAAAATTGAAAGAACAGTTGTGGTACCTCAGACTTTTCACGCATTAAGTAAACCCAAGTTACAGGAGTGCAATCATCAATAAAAGAAACAAACCATTTATTTCCAGAAGAATAAGGGACCTTAGAAGGACCCCAAACATCAGAATGAATAAGATCAAAAGGTTCAACACTCTTAGTAATACTAGAAGGAAAAGACACACGATGATGCTTAGCAAATTCACAAACATCACAATGAAAAGACTCAACAGACTTAGACAAAAACAATGACGGAAATAAAGATTTGAGTAAACTAAATGGAGGATGACCCAAACGCTTATGATGCAGCCAAATTAAAGAATCAGCAGTCGATTGACCATGAGACATGAAGGTGTGATCTGTTACTTTATTTGCGGGAGATTGTGATACCAGATAGTACAGCCCACCTTGCTCTTTAGCACTACCAATCGTCTTCCCCGTGGCGAGATCCTGAAAAACACAATGGGTAGGGAAGAAAGTTACAGTACAATTCAAATCTTTTGTAATTTTATGAATAGAAAGAAGATTCGTGGAGAGTTTAGGAACATGAAGAACATCCTTAAGATGTAAGGACTGCTGTAAGTTTATGTCACCAGAACCCGCAACTGATGTATGTGAGCCATCAGCTATGGATATTGTATGAGTTCCAATGGTAGGATGATAAGAAATAAAGGAGTCAGCACAACAAGCCATATGATTAATAGCACCAG